CGCTATATGAAGAAAAAGTAGCGAGCTGTCGGGCTACCGAAATAAGTAATTGACAAGTTATTAAAGGAATGTTGAGTAACATACTATCGCCTACCAATCGTAACATTCAATCTCAATATCTCGAAATTCTCTCGGAAAACTCTCTGCAAAGCGAGAATCGCTAGGTTGTACATACTCTATCACCTGTAAATTTCGCGCTCGCTCAATGTGGCATCTCTTCCAACCATTTGATCTACTTCGCGGCAAACAATAATATTTGATTTGAGTGTAGATCAAATCGTTAGATTGCTGGTAAAATTATATTGGATTTGGTTTTTTTGGTTATTTTTTTACCTTTCCGGTAAATATGCTTGATTCCACGTTCTCAGTATTCATAACAATGCAATTGCATGCAAAACGTTTCGATTTTTATCGTCATTTCAACTTTTTCCTCCTCTAAATTATTCCGAATTCTCCATTGATGTTTTTCATGCGGTATGCAGTTTTTCCGGATAATCTATGATGATCTTTTCCATCCGAAGCTTAAAGCATATTCTGTATCTTTTTACAACGAGAAAACAATCAAGTGATCACAAGTTCTCATGCATCGGTCATGTCTTGCTGGACATGTGCATTGTTGATATTAGTCTTAACATAAACTCAGAATCGTCCAACTTGCAGAAACCATGTCATCGTCTTCAGATGAAGAGCTGGTGCTGCATCGGAATCCGGCAACATCGTCAGTTGTTGGTGAACGACGCAGCTCGAGACGTGCGGTACTGTCTCGAAAAAAAGAGACTCAACATAAAGCTCTAGAGGAAGTGAAGCGCACACGTGCCAGTGGAAATGTTCATCGTGTTGATGTTAGTCTCCTCACATCAAGCACTCATTATGACACCATGATATGACAGTGAAAATTATCATTAAAGTTATCCCCTCTATCAGCTACCATCAGATCAAAATTTACAGTAATCCGCGACCAAAACTTACAGCAAAATTATCATCTACAACAATTTACAATTGTCAAAATTTACAGCCGATGACATTCAGAAAAAATGACAGTAATGAATATACGAATAACAATTTTATTTTCAAGCATAAAGCTAAAACCAGACATGATTATGATAACAGCTAGAACTGTTACAATGTACATAATAGTACTGATATTGTTAAAGTAGTAATCTTAGAGATCTTTAGAGAACCAGTAATAACGAAAGTATCGGTAATGATTGATAGTTCAGTACATTGAATACATTTTAAGGTAGAAACGTTGATACAACCAGTTTATGAAGAGGTGAATGAAGATGAATACATGAGTATTGTTCGTGAACGACAAAAAGACGACTTCGTTGTGGATGATGGTGGGTTCTGTTTCTCTTTCACCGACAGTTAATAATCTGGAAATCCGGATACCACACCATCTTAAGATCTATGCTGTAATTCAGTCATAATATCATGTAATTAAGTACTGATGTGCAAAAGTATTATTCCATCAATATAGAGTCACACGATACAATGTGATACTGTGATACTTCCAATTGTTACTATTGTTCCTCATTAGGGATGATTGTCACGGGACCATGGTATATAAAACTGTAAATACATCAATGAATGAAATATCATAAGAAATCACGCCTAATAGAGCCTCATCTTAAATGATATATGAAACTGGTATGGCTCGAATGTGAGCATGGATATGGAATAACCATCTTGATCTAAGAAATAATAACATTTCAATATTCACTATCATCACATGTCATGCTCAAATGCCAGTACTCCTCAAATGTTTCAAGGAAGAACAATGACTTGCTATTTATAGATGGTTCCGGTTATGTGGATCACGGTGTTGATATATTTGACGACGAGGATGAAGAGGACATAGAGGGGGGTGTTGAAGGGCCAGTGAAACGGAAAAAAGAAAAAAGAGGTTCACATTACATAGGGTTCAATCAACTTTTGAAATTTAAGTGAATTGGGTCGACATCATTTATCACCAATGAGCAATCGATATGCATGAAAATTTACCTCTCATGTTCCAAATGGTGTAATGAAATAGTTCTTTCACCACTTTATTTAACATTGTTCATAAAGTTCAATCAAAGAAACATCTATCATTCAAAAAATACCAGAGAGTCAATCACGAAAACATAGAGAATGCACACATTTTCAACTGATGTCATTTGAAACGATCCAGCAAAACGATGCCATAAATATTGATTGTACACCAATTACTCGGTGATTCCACTGGTTTTATTTCAGAAAAGCCGAAAAAAGGACGTCTGGATGCATTCCTATCGACTATAGCACCAAAGAAAACCAAAGACGAAGTATTATCACTTTGAATAAGCTGCTTCAATTCATGAAAACATTTCTGCTGATTTTGAGGAGCGGAGCTCAATTGGCAAAACCATGAAATAAGATATACGCATTAGAAAAAATCACACAGATCCCGAATCAAATCAAATTCATTTAAGACTGTCAGTGATAATATGATTCATTGATGAAACGAAATAGACAAATAAGTATTGGCAATTTCGAATTCAAAATTCCATATCATTTATAAAGTTATCATAGAAATGACATGAAATGGTACAGTTATTACAATTTAAAATTTATTTGGTCGAGAGGTAAACGCGAATGATTATTGCACAGTGGCATGAAGTTCAGTTCCGCACGAAGGAGTTTCAATCCAGCAGATGTTTTTATGAACTGGATATTAAACTCTTTTTAATATTCAGAGTTCGGTTTCAATTGCAAACGATCCAGATGTAGAGGCGATGCTGAACGAATGTAATTTCGACGCTCCATCGCAAGAAGTGGATTTGGGAGAGGAATATAACGATAGATATATGAAACCTCCATTAGATCCACATATAAGGTTATCACTAAACTTTGAATATCTTTCAAAGATTACACAAAAAATCATGACGATTTAAGAATGACGCAGCCGATAAAACAAAAAGCATGCATGGTACTTTAATACAATTATGTTTTGAGTGGATTGGATTATCTCTATGCATCGGAAGGCAAGGATACCTGCGGTCATTTTACAGTCAATAACTGCAGTACTACTGTATTCATTCCATTTCTTAATT